CCAGGGTCGTGGGATCGAGCCCCGCATCGGGCTCTCTGCTCAGCAGGGTGCCTGCTTCCCTTCCTCTCTCTCTCTCTGCCTGCCTCTCTGCCTACTTGTGATCTCTGTCAAATAACTAAATAAAATCTTTAAAAAAAAAAAAAAAGAGAGAGAAAGGGTCATCACAGAGGGCAGGCAGGCCACGGGTGGGGAACCAGAGCCTGTTTCTGAGCACATGCTAGACCCACTTGTTCATCTCACAGACCCCGTGCTAACAAAGGAGTCGTCAAACCGCGCTCGGGCTGCTCAGCCGGCACCCCTGCACTCACTGAGGCCTCCCATAGCAGCTGACCCACTTGCCGACCCTGCTGACCAGAGCCTGCTGTCCCCACTCCGTCTGCGCCACCGTAATTCAGGAGTGCTGCCCTTGACAGTTGGTTCTTTTGCTCAAGGCTGCCCTTTACCTTCGTTCACAGGGTCCCACCTCTGGGAGGGGGGCCTGTAAGGACGGGACTCTCTTACGACGCCCGCAGCCCACTCAGCGGCCTTCTTCCGCCTGAATGAGACTGTGCACCTGAGGGATACATGCGGCTTTCCTGTCTCTCACTGCTCGGGTGTAAGGGCAACGAAATTCGATGCTCACAGCACTTCCAAGTGGCTCCCGAACAGGCCCAACCCTTCAACGGGGCCAGTGTGGTCGGCCAACCAGGCCTCTCTGGTGCCTGGCTTGCCGGCCTCCAGCTGCTTAGCCCTGAGCCCGCTTGTAAGCTGGCCGGCTCCTTCCCACCCTCCCTATGCCCCTTCCTTGGACACCCCACAGACCCGTCACCACAGCACTCTCACAGCGCGCTCTGTCTTCACTCAGGACTGAAGAGCTTCACCTGCTTCCCGGCAGCCTCACGCTCTCCCGAGAGCGTGGGCCCAAGGCAACAGGATCCCAGTGGGTTGATCTGCCGCTCCTCTGACCTTCACGAATGAAGAGAGACGTACCACACAAGCTCACATGGGTTCTTCCCCAAAGGAATGCTTTATTGACAAAGTCCCCATTATCCACTTTAAGGAAAAGATGAATCAGTTACTACACTTGCGTCCTGCTTTCTCACCACACCCCATCCGTGATTCTAACCCTGAAGAGAAAACACCAAATGCTGTTCTTCCCATGGCGCCAGCACAGACCGCAGTCCACCCAGGGCGTCTGAAGTGACCAGCGGACACTCGGCTTACCAGAGGACACCACGGTCTACTAGAGTGGACTCTGCGCGTGCACAGGTGCGCTCTCGGCCTGCTGGAAGCCAATAAGGCACGGAGCTGCCCCTCCAGACACACCCCATGCGTGGGGCCCTGACCACAAGGCTGCTGGGGTGTGGCAGCTTCAGCATGGGAATGAGATCTTTGTAGCTCCTGAGAAAAGGCGAAAGCAGAGTCCCAGCCGACCCGACGCAGGGCCCATCTGCTTCTCACTTGTCCCCAGGGCGCAGCGAACGGGCATGTTGGAGCCGAGCCGTCTGTGGAGGGTGTTGGCTTCTGCTTCTCCTGCCTACCCCCACCTCCACCCCCAGAGGCCCAGAGCCCCCTGGCTGGCAGGAGCTACCCCGGTCCTTGAGGAGAGAGAAGCAAGCTTCATACACTGGAATGCAGTGCATCCACTGAACAAAACGCACCAAGGGTCCAAGCATGCTGCCCTTTGGGCTAGACGCAGAAGTCTACATAACGCTCGAAACCCACTGAAGAACCCTTATTTTCATATAAAAAACATTATAAACAAATAAAGCATATTGCGATGTAAGGCTTGTATGTCAGCTTGAGTCCAAAGAAATAGTGTTTTCTAATGGAGACTAAAGCTGCTTTGCTTGGCTTAAATTTTCGAAAAATTCGCTGCATTTAAAAAATAAAGAATTTGCTTTTGTTAAAGCTAGATCATTAGTGTAAGAATTAGGCGCTGTTGATAACCAGGTTCTTGCTGGAGGGTTTCAAAAATTGGACAGTTTTCTCATTTAGCATTTGAAATAAAAACTGAAGATCAGAGGACTTTCTGGATGAATCTTTCTTCCGCAGATTCCTTCTATAACTCACGAAAGGGGAGGCTGAGGAAATACCACTTATTTTATGCTTATCACTCTCCCGTTCCTTCCATGTTCTCGCGAACTAACAAGACCGCCAAAGGGCCCACTGTCCTGTCTACTCCCTGCACCCCAGGAAGGACGGCACAGTGGTCTGCATCTACCAACTTCAGTGGAAAGCATCTGCGTACAAGACCGCGTTCTGTAGAACTCATGCGAACACAGCAGCCACGTATACATGGGAATGACAGGACCCTCCTCAAAGCCAGCTCGGTGCATCCACCCAAGGTCTGACGGGCTGCTCCGCTACAGCGTCGCGGCTGTGACGATGAGGGCGGGCTTGCACTTCTCCATGGCAGGGCAAAGCTGGGATGGGCTTAGAAAGGCGTGTGATCGGGCAGGGGCTTGGCGCCACTCCCGGTCGGGGAGGGCAGGTTCTCAGTGCCATTCTCTCTGCCACCTACAACCTTAGACTACAGATGGGGAGAAAAAAATCGAGAAAAAAAAATAATAAAACCTGAGACAGAGCACACAATGCTGGCACGCCCTAGGCCTTGCTGGGAACCCCAGCTGTTCAGCTCTCTACGAAGTCTACACCACATCAACACCAACGGGCGATAAAGAGGAACAAATCCCCGACACGGGCAACAGGCTGGCAGTATCTCTAGGGGTTTAGGCTGTGTAGAAAGAGCAAATCTTCAAAGGCTCCACGCTACACGGTTCCAATCCTAGGACATCCTGGCAATGACAAGTCATCAAAACGGAGAACAGATGAGCGGTGGTGGGGGCAGGGCCAGAAGAAGGTGAGCCCCAGGAAGGACCGTTGTGGGGATGACACCGTTCTCCACCGTGACTGTATCACTGTCCTATCCCGGTGGCGCTACTGTGAAACGCGGTCACTGGGGAAACTGTGGAAAAGGTACAAGGACCCTCTGCGTTAGTTCCTGTCACCGCATGTGAATCTACGGTGCCCAAGTACATTTACGTAAAGGACGCGTCGCGCCCCACCCCAACAAGCCAAGTGAATGGTCCAGAGAGAGTTACCTTTATGTTCCCAACTCGGTCTTCAAACGACTTGAAGGTGGCAGAATTCCTTTAAAGAAAGAGAGAAGAGGTCAGTGTAGGGAGCAAGGGACTGTGCCGCCCCCTCAATCTATAGGGCTCAGGGTCAGGGCCAGCCTCCAGAAAGACCCCCAACTGTATCCCGAGACATTAAAAATGGGACACGCCAAAAGGGAGGGGGGCATGTGCCCCGAACATGGCCCCGACAAGGTCATTCTGGAGGCCTCCAGGTCGGAGAAGGCCAGCCACAGTCGCCCACTGCGAGAAGAGAAGACCGCACACTGCCAGCGGGTGAAACGCAACTTCACACGGGCAGACCGCAGACCCCTCGCCTGGGCAGTAGGTGGGATGTGGGACGCGTTTCTGCTGTACCCTAAATACACACTGATGGGCCACCCAGACGTCATAAAGAGTCCCAGGTGTTCCTGACACAGATCTCTCACAGAAGTCCAGCAAAGGAAAACCGAGGACAATTCTGGAACAAGGGAGCGAGGAAGCGGCAGAGGAAGAGAAAGCGAGCCAGCCCCAGCCCGACCCAGCACCCTTTCCACAACCAACTCCAGCCTCTCTGGCTCAGCTCCTCCCGGTACCTCGCGCCCCTAGGGGCAGCCTGGCAAGGACCCCCAGCCACAGCAGAGTGTCCTGTAACAAGGATGGTGGCTCTGCGGCTGCCCCACCATGGAGAACACACCCGTGGGAGGTTTCAGGAACAGGCCACGGCTCTGGGTGTTCTGAGGAGACCAGGACTCCCCTCCAGATGCAGATAAAAGTTTCCATAATAGGCCTAGAGGGACCTCAAGCCTCCTGGCTGTCATGTATGTGTAGGGTTCTCTCTGCCCCCCACTCCTGCGGCCCAGCCCCATGGGCAGCCCTGGAAGCTTCCAGATGGGAGCCCGTTGGTACAAGGCTCTCCTCTGCGCCTCACCCTACTAGCTCTTTAGCCTAGAAGGGATCTTTGCAACCCGGGCCCACAGGAGGCTGCCAGGGGAGACAGTCCTTGGCTCAGGCATCTGGGACGTGTGAGGCTGACCGGCAGGCCTCACCCACTCCCACCCAGCCCCCACTAGGGCTCTGAGAGCTCAGGGGCACGAGTGCACGTTACCTCATGGCCGGCATACTTATCGAGTGGCGGATTGAAGAGCTGCTACTCGGAAGCATGGGAGAAGCAGAGAAGGAAGCAGGAGTTAACACAGGAACGAGACTGGCCACCACCACGCCCATCAGCTTGTCCACACAGACACCCGCCTTTGCAGGGTCGGTGAGCTCTGGCCACAGCGCACAGAAGGGCTCCCCACACCAGGAGGAAAACTCAACCCAGGCTTCTCTCCCTGGCCTCCAAAGCTGCCCCAGAAATGGGACAATGCTAAGGGACAACTTTAAAATAGGAAACGAAGAAGACCTAGGCCTGGGCCTTTAAAACCCTTTCGGCACAAACGACTGTCAGACGTCCTTACTCGACCTCACAGCAAGTGAAGGGATTTTTGGTAAAAGAGAAACAAGCCGGCCGAGTAAGTAAAAGTATTTACAATCAAACATTGTTCTGGATTTGGGCTCCAGGCCTGCGAGCGGGATGACGGTGTGATGGGCAGCAGTGCTGGCATCAGGCTAGAAAAGCACGACCGAATCAGCACGGAGCAAGGGCCACTCAGAGGGGTCCCAGTGCTGCTCACCGCTCTCACAGGATCAATGGGACCATCTCAACTCTCAGGGACAAGACTGCTTCTCATGGGGAGGAGAAAACAGGAGCCGGCATTTTGGACAAAGCAGCACTGACCACAAGAGCGAGAGGATCAGCATGACCCTCCCGCACGAGTAGGTCTCCCCTCAGGAGTCCGCACAGGTGGGGGCCGCGGGACAAGCTCGGTGAGGCTGGGCTGCGGGCTGGCAAGGAGTCACACGGTCACAGCCTGAGGAGCACCAGGCAGGCAGAACACCAGGCGGGCCCCCCGCTGCCTCTTCCAGCGCAGCCTCCCACGGGCCAGCCAGACACCACCCTGCCCTGCGTCAAGAGAAGAACCTTGCAGAGGTAACGTCCAGCAGCAGTCTTACCTAAAGGAGTGTGAGAACGGACGAGCCCTGAAAGGCGGCAGCAGGAGAAGAAATGCAGTGTTAGGAAAGGGAGGCCAGGGTCCACCCCAGCCCCTCCATCAAGTTCTGGGAGGCCACACAGGGACCCCCATGACCACCCCCAGTCCTCACACCACCAGGGAGAGCAGGACGTGCACCCTGTCTCCTCTCCCCAAGCCCCAAGTCAGTGACAGGCACAGGACCACACCTCCACGACCCCACCCGGGTCACAGACGAGGCACCGTGTGTCTGTGACTCTGTCTGGAGTTAGAGGGAAGAACCCACAAAGAGCAGAGCAGGGCAGAGGTGAGCTGAGGGACCGCCCTCAAGGTCTGCGTGTGCCACTCCCCAGAACCCAGGTCAGCCAGGGCCTGCCGACAGTCTCCGCAGCGACAGACCAGCCCACGCTCTCCGCGGGCCGCAGCTAGACCAGAGCGCGCATGTGCCGCAACAGGCCTTGGGACGCCCCCAGGGCCGAGCACCTTGCACTCTGGCTCCATCGGGACCGCAGACAGGTTCCAACCCAGAAACACACACGGGCAAAGGCGACACAGCCACATCCTCCTCAATGCAGCCGGGCCCAGCACCTCTTACCCCAACGTGGACATCATCTCCGAAGCAACACAGCCACGTGGGTGGGCAGCAGGCCTGCCATCTCCAGGTGGAAGGAGCAGGAGTCTGAGGGTTCGGGGAGGCACGGGCCTTCACAGGTCACCCGGACAGAGAGACCCACCCCTGATTGAACCCAAATCCAGCTCTCTCCCAGCCGGCCACCTCGTGCCCCAGGGCACACAAAAAGCCTCGGGCCAGGGCTGCTCCCGGATAGGCCCATGGAGGACACCGATGTGGGGCAAACGTCTAACACATATGCACTTCCCTACACCTCATTTCCATTCTCAAGAAGCTGTAAACTCTGAGCCTCAGCTCCAAACCGGGGAGGCTAACGGGCCGCAGCCTCAGAAAGCACCTGAGACAATACAGCAAGGAAGCAGCGGACACATCGAGGTGCCAGACTTCACCGCGTCCCCGAAAACACAGCAGAATAAAACCAAAGAGCCCCAAGGAGAGGTACAGCAGCAAACGGGACAGTCCCTCTGGGCATGTGGAATGGGACCGGGTCCCTCCCACCAGCCGGCCCGTGCGTGTGAAGCACAGTGCTAACACGACACACAGGGAGGCCACGGGCCACACACCACGGGTCAGCAGCGAATGCCAAGTCCTGGGGCAAGAGCGTGAACGAAGGAACAGACGCCGAGCCGGAGCCCGCAGCAGCCCCACCACAGCTGCTCCCAGCAGCGCCAACGCTCCGCGTGCACTCGACCGTGAGTGGGGACACGCAACAAGAGCAACGCCCAAAGTGACAGGGGACACGCTTAGTGAGCACGTAACGCAGGCCGCGAAGATGCTCACTGCCTCCCTCAAGTGCTGTTACCAGCCTGGCATTCCGAGCGAAGAACAGGTACCATCCGACACATGGCTTGCCCCGTGGCGTGGGGACGGCCCGCGTGAATCCGCGGCCCTCCCTGGGAGCAAGGCCTGGCCCCCAGTGGCGTGCGATCGGTCTGTCCCAGGCTGACCACAGCAGGTACCCCAGAGTGCAGCAGCGAAGGCCCATCTAACTCACATGACATGCGCTACAGGCGCACACCACGTGGTCTCAGCCGGTTTACGGGGCAGCCACCGCGGACCCTCCCTGCCGTCGGCTCGGAGCCATGGCGGGTAGGGCCCGAGTCATCACAGCCACTGTGGACAGGCCTGTGTCTACAGGCTGACCCAAGAGGACCCCCGGCCATACCACAGCCACTCAGGAGCTGGACCAGAGCACCGAGGAGACACACAGACCCCGTACTGACTGTTCGGAGTCTCCGAATGTTTAAAATTTTTCAAAATAAAAATCGGAGGGGGACTAATTCCATCAAGCAAACAGAAGGTGGGCACAGCCCTGGGCAGAAGCCGACGGGGGAGGGGCTGTGCCTTCACCCCTGGCTGTGTGGCCAGCACGCAGCCCCCACCTCGAGGCCCCACGAGGCAACTGGCGGGCCTGTGAGGGGAGGAAATGCCTAACCTGAGCAGGCAGGGAGGCAGCCCACCCGAGGGTCGGAGGGGAGCGGCTTCCGAGCGGGACGGGGCCGGCTGCTGCGCTCAACACACCAAGCCCACAGGCACCACCACACTGTGCTTCTCCACTGTGAGAAGACAGAGGACTCAGCACAGGCTGGGGGCCGCGGGGAGGTGTTCCCCGAAATCCCGGAGTGAGGGGACCGGGGCTGCGTGTGGGTCAGGGGCCAGGGCAGGGCTGGGCGGCAGCGGCCAGGTGCCTGCCGCGGTAACGAAGCCCTCTGCACGGCTGCTGGCCAGTGCGCGCTTCGCTCTAACCATCCTGGGAAGGACGCCTTGCCAAGGGCAAACGAGGTGGTGGCCGAGCCAGGATTCACACTGTGGCCTTGGGCCCCAGGGTCCAATCCCCTCGGCTCAGGGCAGCGTAGCCAGAGACATGGCGGGTGCAGCCCCGGAGCCCAGAGCAGGAAAGGCTGCGCGTGGGTGCTGCCATGTGTGCTCAGAGATCCCTCTGATGGCCCTGCAGGTCTCCTCAGCTCTGGGGGAGACCACTCAGCCGGGGCCCCTGGCACACGGCCGCACACACTCTGTGATCTGGGCCAGGCAAACATTCCAAGGCAACAACGCGCTTCCCCCAGCCCCACCCCACTGGCCGGCCTGCCCAGAGTGACGCCCCACCCTGACACTAACACCGAACGGGGGCCACCCTCCCTCTGAGGAACTCCACGGATCCCAAGCGTTAGAAGTTGCCCAGAAGAAACAACCACCTCCTCCCCTAAGAAACACAGGAATGGCAAAGAGGCAGCCCACAGAAAAGGGACCACGCACTGACTGGTCCAAGCTGGTGGGCTCACATCTGTGGGTGCCAAGGGGCCCTGAGGGATATGCATCTGAGCCCTAGGCCCCTGAAGAGCCCCCAGCAGCTCTAAAACCCCTAAACCCTCACCTGACTTACCCACGCGACTAGAGCATCTCACCTCATGTCCCCGAGCTTTCTGCTAATGGCGGAGCCCACGGTGGACAGGGCAGCCGACGTCTTCTGTCCCGCCTGGGAGAGAGTTTCTTGAGTCTTCTTGTAGCTGAGAAGAAATACCAGTTGAACCAACCCAGAAGGAGGAGCAGTCATCAAGCGTAAGCCAAGGACACCAAGTGCCCAGAGTGTGCCCAAAAGAAGGAGAGAGGAGCCGTTAGCGAGCACATGCCTGGCCCACCAGGGAGGGGACCGACCACAGGGACAGAAGCGGCACAGCCAGGTCTCAACCTCCCAGATCTGAAACAACTGTTTTCTGACCTCACTCAGCCTCACCTAAAACTCAGGTGCCCACTTCCCTTGATCTCTCACCACGCTGAGTGTCTGCCTCCTGCCGTGAAGACAGCCCTACAGGGGCCCTGGGTCTGGGACAGAAAACAGAAAAACCCCCTTGTTCTGTTAATCTGGGAAGCTTCTTATGTCAAGACGCCAGCACGCCCATGAGGGGTCAGGATGCACTTGACAGTGTGGACATGGAGCCCCCCGTCCCGTGCTGTCTCACAACACCCTTTCGGCGCCGCAGGACCTTCACCTCAGGCCACCGTTCTCAGTGCCTAGGGGAGCCTTGGATCACAGAACAGACCACCCTTTCCGTGCCCTCCTGCCCCATCCACCTGCACGCAGGTTCGTCCCAGAAGACACACGGGTCCATGACCTCAACGTCTGTGCGATGGCCACGGAGAAGGCAAGGACACCTGGAGAGCTAACACGTGGGCCTGCCAGCCCTTGTCCAGCTGCCGCCATGAACAGCAGACACAGCCGCCCGAGGCTGAAGGCTCCTTTCTGGCCAACCAAGCAGCCCTAAAGAAACGGCTTGTGATGGCCGGGATCTCAGGACGCCAGCCTATTCTCTGAAATCACTTTCTGAGGGCTTGTTGGTGTCCCCAGGTCACGGGGGAAGGTCAGACAGCACCCACCTCAGGTCCTCGGAAGTCCTCCCCCCATCCGCTCCCCAGTGCCATCTGCAGGACGCCCCACTGGGAGTGCCTGCTGCCCCCCTCCCTCTCCTCCCTCCTGAGCACACTAGGTGGGGTTCTGCCATGACCTCCCCACGCCACCCCATCTTGTTGGGGGGGGGGTCCAGCCTTGCACACTCCTGGGAGGGCCTCCCTCAACTGGGCAGGCACTCTTCACAGCACTGTGGGGCTCAGGCTTCTCTGGTGCTCAGCAGGGCTCAGGACTCAGAACATGCGCTTTCTAGCCAGTGAGTTTGAAAACATGTTGAAGTCACTAGAACAGTGAGTTTATCTTAGTTTCCAAGAAGGTTCACGAATCCCAAAACATACTAATAATGGAGAAAAAATAATCTAAAATCTTTACTGTAAGGGCGCCTGGGTGGCTCAGTGGTTAAGCATCTGCCTTCAGCTCAGGTCATAACCCCAGGACCTGGGACTGAGCCCTGCGTCGGGCTTCCTGCTCAGCGGGGAACCTGCTTCTGTCTCTCTCTGTCTACCCCTCCCCACTGCTCGCTCACTCTCTTCCAAATAAATAAAATCTTTAAAAATTTTTAAAATAAAATCTTTACTGTAAGATTTGCTCTGGATTTCCTGAAGGCATTAACCAAGCCTCTAATTCTGAATCCAACCTTCAGCGAAATCTGACTACCAGAATCCCCACCCCGCCCGCCCGCCCGCGACAGAAACGTTCACAGAACTGAGCAGGAATGGAAACAAACCCCAAGTAGGAATGCAGGAGCCCATACAGCTCCGTGGCTGGGATCCGGACAAGCCCCCCCGGCAGAGGGGCCGACCACAGCTGGTTTGCACGACGAGAAACCCAAGTGCACACGCTCCTTCCGGGAGAGTTTCCACACACTCAGCTGTAACCCTCCAAGGCGCCTTCCCACCTGATGGAGCCTAAGCCAGGAGCCGCCACCTGCACCATACTTTGTCTCAGGGTCAGCGGAACTGTGGCAATAAAGGGCTCTGGAACCTTCTCTGGGGTCCCTACCTTGCAGTAAGCCTTTGGGCCCCCTCACCCTCACGCCCAGCTGGCGAACTGCTTTCCTGTCAAAATGAGTTAAAACAGGTTACCTGCAAGAAAGAGGCTGGGAGGCGCGGCTGTTATTTGTAAGGCACTAAGCACGAGGTAACTAATGGCGCTATTTAGTTTCAGAAACGCAAATCCAGAAAACGTCTTCCAGCCATCTCTCGTGAACCAACGAATACGTAAGACCCCGTGGCCCTGCCTGTTGCAGTGAAAGAGTCTGAAGCAGAGGCTTGAAGGCAAAGTCTGCACAGGGTGTCTGTGCCCACAGGGAAGCTGCAGCTGGAGGGACCACAAGCCTGGGCTGCGGGCTGTCGGTGACGAGCAGGTCCTGAGGGGACTCAGGTCGGAGCCAGCCACCAGACGACAGACAGCAGGGACCCTCGCGATGGGCCACTGTGATGGGCAGCGGCCCTGCTGGAGACTCAACAGGGTGGAAGGAGGGGTCACAAGTGACTCCTTCAGAGACGGGAACCCCCAAACTGGGGCAGATGCAGAAGTGGAAGCCACGCTCAGGCGGAGACAGGGCCGGGGGCCAAGGCCGAGTCTGGACGCAGGTAACTCGGGCCCAGACATGCTCAACAGTGCTAGACTGAGCCACCCTGGCCAGCACCCCTTGGAGAATCACTCCTACCTTTCCGGAAACCAGAAGTGTAGAACCCGGCAAACACCAAGCTCCCGCCATCAGTCAGGGTGGGGCACCTGCCGGAGGTGCTCGCTCCGGGATCTTCCCCTGGGGGCTGCTCCCACTTCCAACTCGGGTGGGGGGGGGCTGACCGCAGAGAGGCTTACAGCGCCCCGACCACAGTGAGAGTCCAGTGAGACCCACACCGGGTCCTCCACACCGGGCCCTCCTGCTGGGGGGCTGTGAACTACAAAGATTCAGACCTGCGCCGCTGGGCACCCCCTCACACCAGGAAGGAGGAGCCGGACAAGCTGATACCATCTACGTCTGTGCTTTCTGTCACACACAACCAAAGGACTCAACATGCCAACCAGTGGCCACGGAGTTCACCTGGTGCCACACGCACACGACTGCAGCTCTGTCTCCCAGCAGACAGAGCCCGGGGAGGCGCCCGTGTCACAGCCAAGAGAAGACAGGACGAGAGCACCAACACTGCCTCTGCCCAGCACGGCCTCACGACAGCCAGCCTGGCAGGCACACACATGTCTGGTTGACAGGGATCCCTCGGGGGCAGTCATACCCCACCAGTGGCCTCCCACAGCGATGACCAGCCAGGCACCTTCGCCCCAGAGAGCGCAGAGCAGCCAATGTTTTTAGTCACCCCACCCTGAGCTGGGTCACCATCCCCCTGGGCTGTCCCTGCAGAAATGCTCCAGCCCCCGGAGCTTCACTGTGCCAACTCCTCCACCAGCGCAGCTGGGGGTGAGGCCTCAGGGGAACGGCCGCCACCCGCGAGGCGCCTGGGAAGGGCCATCCCACCGGCCACTTCCATGCCAGAGCCACAGGCTTGTCAGAGGAGTCAGCGGCGTAACTATCTGAAACAGCACCGTAGCGACCTCACACCACCTGGTGTGACAAACGGCACCAAAGTCCCCTAAGGCTCTTTTTGGGTTAAGTCCACACCATGAGCCTGCCTGACACCCAAACTGCACAGGTGACAGCTGCTGTCTCAGCCTGGAGAGCACCGGCAACGTGGAGCAGGCATCGTCCGACACAGCCCCGAAGACACAGCGCACAGGGTGTGGCCAGGACTGCTCTCACCCCAAACCGCACAAACGGCGGGACCCGCCAGAGCGCCCTGGCACCCAGCCCCCCCGGGGACACCAAGCTGCCGAGACCCCGAGCACAGAGCCAGCTGACCTGGGAGCCCAGGCGCCGGGAAGACCAGCTCTGTAGCAACTGTTCCCTTCCAGGCAGATCGAAGGCCTGTCGGCCAAGCTCTCTGGGAGACACCGCAGCACCTCCTCCTCGACAAGAGATGGAAAAGAATCCCAGAAAGCCATGATCTTGTAACGTGACCCCACTCGGTTCAAAGGAACTAGAATCCGATTGGAGCACAGGTAACAGAAGTGCTGTTTCCTTGTGTAAAGATCTCAGATAAACACAGCTTTGGCAGACACGAAAACCCATCTGTGTTGTTTCCTACTCTGCTCATATTCCACGTGGCTGAGAGCTCGGTGCCCCTCAGACCAAAGCGACCCCAAGATCCCACCAGCACGGCCCGTGTGGCAGCCCTCACTCAAGAACCCCCTCAGCGGGAGCCCCGTCCGCAGAGCGGAGAAGACCAAAACAAGCCCCGAGTCACCATCGGCGTCAGCCCAGACGGGGCGCAGCCACTCTGCCCGCTCGCAAGGCTGAGGGGCGCCTACCAGCCGGAGGTGCCACAGAAGCCCCACCAGGCCTCTCCTCTAAGGGACGCGCCCGTGCCAGCCAGATGGAGGTTTTCAGTGCAGTCTGTGGCCGAGCGAATTTCCTTCAGCAACTGCACCCATTTCATGAGAGTTTTACTTTGTGTTTAAGAAAAATCATATTAAAAATAAAATACCCCCGAACACTAAAACCAGGTCTGTGCAAAGTGCGCACAGCCTCCCTGTCCCTAAAAGGAGTGTCAAGAGGAAGAGAAGGAGGAGAGAAGTGCTGACGGCAGAGGCACTCACAGGTCTGACTGGGTCACTTTCTCATTCCACTCTCCAAGTTTCTCAGAAGTTTTCACATAGCTAAAAACAGAAAGTCTGTGGTAAATTATTTAGAACAATTATTTCAACTAAGGTTTCGAAAACAGGTGAAATCTCATGGAACACGGAAGAGGGCTGGACAGCACGAATGGCGGGTCTCCAGACTGCCTGAGAACGGGGTCTGCCCCTCCTCTCAGCACCTGCTTGAGGCCGGGGTGAGGCCACGGCAGAACCGACCAGTCCTTTTCCTATCGTGCCGATCTGACCCTGGATGATACATTTCAGAAGAGCCATGGAGCTACACTTCCCAAGTTCAGAGAGCTGAGTCACATCTGGTCAGAGGTCTTGGGGTTGTGACCACGTCCCGCTCGTGAGGACTCGAGTTTGCTTCAGCAGATGGGGCATCATAGGAAAATCAGTCTCATTAAGGAGCTGATGAGCTTTCTCTCACATTCGGACCCTGAAATATATTCTTCTCAATTTCTGCTTGGACACTAGCTAGTGTATCCCCCGCCTTCTTCTAAAAACATGTGGACTCTAAGCTCTTCCCACGCATACCAGCTGCGAGATCAAGAACTCAGCGCCTCTGGCTGGCTGCTGGCACACAGGCATACTGAGTCCCCTAGGACTTAACCTCCCATTGACGTGGCAAGGGCACCAATCTGGCGAATGGCCTCCGACCACCAGGGGCACCTCTGCCGCAGGCAGGTACCTACGCGTTAGAGACTTGCACGTCATGCCAGCTCCTGGACAGGTTCTGCTTCAGGCCCTCCAAGGCAGAGAGGCCCAGCTTCCTTTTCAGCTCTGCACAGTGCCTCTCCTTGGCTGCCAGGACCTGGCGCAGAGTGACAATTTCCTCTTCCACCTATGAAAGCACATAGTTGGTTAGCTACCGCTACCGCGGGACGTGACGGACGCCCCCGCCCCCACACACTGCAACGAGAGGGTTCTCAGAATCATGGACAGACTTTCCGCTTACAGAAACATAAACCGTCTTAGGAACAGAGTCTATGTCACGCAACTGTTCTGTTTTTATCTGGTACTAGCACCCCAGCTTCTTCAGGAAGACTGTCCCATCCCCCCAAATCAAGTGGTTCTGGTGGGGCTATCAAGCACTGTGCCCACCCATGGATCCCCAAGCAAGGCCTGTCACAGCTCTCCCCTGGACTGGGCACAGCTGTCAGAAGAGACAGGCCCCTCTCCCTCCAGGCTCCGAGTCTGGGCCCAGAAGCTGGAACTGCTGGCAGCCAGGCCCCAGCCACACGGGGAAGGAAGTGGAGCTGACAGACAGACAGATGGCCAGAGACCCAGGTGACAGAGCAACAGACTTATGACTACATGTATGTTCCTGAGGTTTGCTCCAGGCCTTGGGAAAGGCAGTCACCCAAGCCAAAAGTAAATTCTCTTTTGTGCCTAAGGTAGTGTGAATTGGGTAACAGAAAGAATCCTGACAATAAAGACCTGAACCTTCTTGGGTCCTCAAATAAAAAAGAATGTGACCCGAAAAAGCAGCGTCCTCTAGAGCGTAACCGCTCCAGAGGTCTGTTTCCAACTGCTGTGCTGATAGCTGCCGTAAGAAAAAAAAAAGTCCTTCTCTTTAAAAAGGTGATGGCTTGGAGTAAGATAACAATAAGTAGCTCAGAGCCTTACACCACTAGGTTTTCCATCAGAAGAATAGCTGAAACAGGAAATAACTTACAAGCAGAGTCATCTAAGGCCAGACTGCTACCAGTTACTCCAGCAGTAGCGACCAGTGACCAGAACATTCCACACACAGTGTGACCACCGGCAGAGCTTGAGGGTGTGCAATCCAGCTGTCTTGGGGGAAGTGCACACTGAGAATTTCAAGTGACACTGAGCTTCTCCACTCTGCAGCTCAGCTCTGAAATGACCCAGTGCAAAACACAAGCCTGGCTGCGCTACCTGCGGCGAGTCCCTAACCTTCCCTCGGCTCAGAAACAGCTGCAGGTTCTCCCCGATCTGAGACCTGGTCGTGGGCTGAGGCTTATCTGCACGGCAAGGTCTGTTTAGACTCAGGATGCATCAACACAGGTTCCTCTCCGGAGACTGAGCAGGGCTGTGACACGCAGCACATCAGCTTCTGCCTGACCCGAGGCTACCCTCGGGTATTAGCAAATTCATGACGCCAGACTGTGAATCCCACGTGAGTCACCGTTAGAGTCTGCATCACACGGTAAAAAGAAATGTCCCTGGCAGCTGCTATGAGAAAAACATACACTTGAAGATTTTGGCTTTTAATTACCATTTCCTCTTAAAAGATTCACTTTAAAAAGATCACATGAAGCACTTTTTTACAGAAGTAGTATTTTTAAAAGGAAAATGGAGATCTAGGACGGATAAATGTGTGGAGTCTGGAAACTATCAAGTGTTAATTCCAACAAAGAAACGCCCCTCGCTGGTGGGATCAGAGCAGCTGTCCAGTGTAGACACTCTCCTCACAGACTCCTTACAGGATGCCAAGCACACACAAAGCCACCACAGAGAGCGGCTTCTGTGGGACTCTGGGAACGACCTCCCAGGGCAATTTCCGCAGAGCACAGCTAGCCCTATGGCCCCCTCAGGCTAATGAGGGGGCCTGAACTCATCGTCCCCCCCAAGACAGACGGCCGACACAGCACCTTTGCAAGCTCAGCCCTAAGCTCCTCCTCCTCAGCCTCAGTCAGACCCTCGACAGCAGGAGTCTGGGCAGCCACCGTTGTGTCGACAGGGACATCTGTCATGGAGTCGGACAGCAGACCTTTGTTAGGAGAATTCAGGTTGATATCTGCCAGAGACAAATAAGGTCAGAAAGTGTCAATGAGAAGTTACAGAAAGGGGCGCCTGGGTGGCTCAGTCGTTAAGCATCTCCCTCAGGCTCAGGTCATGATCCCAGGGTTCTGGGATTGAGTCCTGCACTGGGCTCCTTGCTCAGCGGTAAACCTGCTTCTCCCTCTCCCACTCCTCCTGCTGGTGGTTCCCTCTCTTGCCATCTGTCAAATAAATCTTAAAAAGAAGAAGGGGGGGGGAGGAGGAGGAGGAGGAGGAGAAGAAGAAGAAGAAGAAGAAATAGTGAAGAAGAAGAAGAAGAAGAAGAAGAAAAAGAAATAGTGAAGAAGAAGAAGAAGAAGAAGAAGAAGAAGAAGAAGAAGAAGAAGAAGAAGAAAAAGAAAAAGAAAAAGAAATAGTTACAGAGAAGTAGATCGGGAAGAGGTCTCCACCAAGGAAGAAAGCAAGGGCGAGAGGACGGGTTATGAGGCATTGGAGGGGGGACTGTGGAGAGAACCAACACCCCTTCTCTGACAGGTTCTGCAGGGATGGCTTCGCCATCAGGCTGAGGGCATCTCAGGCCACCCAAGGTGCTGCTGCAGGGCATGAGAAAGACTGGCACAAGGCAGCCAGACCCTAACTCTGCCTCCCCCGCTGACAGTGCGCGCTCCGGAGACAGGAACCTTTGCTACAAACAAAGCAGTCTGACCTAAAGGATCTTCCAATTTTTAGAGCAGAGAAACTTAATACAGCTGTAAACACAACAGGCACCACCTCCAACCAGCCGATCTGCAAAGCACACGCTAAAATTACACACAAGGAGCACATGCTGCTCATCCAGGCCTGGCAGGGAGTCAGCAAAACAAAATACCCACCGTCTGTGCCCGACCCTCATTCCACAGCAACACGCAGCCAGGCGCAGAGAAAACACTGCTTCCGCCCCTCCTCGACACCCAGATCAGGCTCCAATTCCCAGAGTCACCATTTTCTTTCCGAATTGAAAGCATCTTCCTGTCTGCACTAAAAGTGGACAAGATCCCGCACAAGGAAACACGCGTCCGCTTTAGCTCGTCCCAGCTGCAAACCCACCGCTGCCCCGCAGCACACACAGGCCGCACACGCCAGGAAAGCAGGCTCTGCGCGGTGTCCAGCACGGTTAAAAGTAAAGGCCTGGGGCACCTGGAGAGCTCAGTCCGAGGAGCGAGCGGCTTTTGATCTTGGGGTCATGAGTTCAAGCCCCACAAGCAGAGGTGACTTAAATAAATGAGCTTTTTAATCAGTAAGGAAAATAAACGTGAAGCAACAAAAGCGGACAGAAGGTAAAGCGTCTTCTGCTGCAGGGTTTCCCCACCGCGGAAGTCCGAGGACCGGCTAAGAAGAGCGCTCCCTTCAGCTTGTGCCCGCACACGCCCCGCGCCGCGGGAGCTCAGCACTTCCCGGCGCTGGGTCCGGTTCGCTGCAGAAGCACGTCTGCGTTTCAAGCCGCGGAGCGCAACATGCACGACTCGGCTTCATCATCTCTCCCCGCCACACCGAACCTCCTCGAATTTGCTAAATGCCTTACCTTCTCCATAACCTTCTCTTCTCTTAAAACACACACGTGACCGAAATGATCCCCGACAGAGACTGGGCGCTTGCCAACCGCGCCGAGGCCAGGCACAGTCACTCGCGAGACAGGGCCTCAGCACACGCAGGGCCTCCAGAGTGGGGTGGAGGCGCAACCTGGGGGCAGACCCCTCCCGGCGAGTCCCCGCGCGGATCATACAAGGGACCCTCGCGAGGGGTTATTCTGGGAACGAGAAGAGGCCCGGCGAGGCCCGGCGCACAGTCCGCGCTCAGCCCGTACTCCCACCGGTGTCACGCCGGCGCGCCGAACGCAGACGTGCGAGTAGAGCCGCGGGAAAGCCCCCAGCGTCCCGGGCTCGGGCTCTGCGCGCTCGACCACTCCGCGAGCAGAAGGGCCTCCGGAACGCACCGGAGCCCACGCATTCCTACCCGGGCCTGCGCGGCCCTTGGACGCAGGAGCCCGGCCTCCCTTCCCAACAGCCCCGGGACGGAGGGCGGACGGGAACCCCCTCTCACGACCGCGACCCGGCCCACGCCACACCGCCGGCGCCGGCTCCGACCGCTCTGGGGCGTCTGCTCTGGAAACAGGCCTGGAGCGCGCGCTGCGCGCCCTTTCCCCCTTGAGACAACCCCCACGCCGCCTGCGCTCCGGGCAGCGCTGCCACCCAAGGGGCGCCGCACCGCGCGCGAAGGTGGCTCCAGCGCGCCTCCCTCCCCGGGAGAGGCCGCAGCGCGTCGGCCCACGTCCTCGTGCAGGTGGCCTGTCCGAGGGCCCCGCGTGGGGACGGAGGCCGGCCGATTAGGCGGGCGCCGAGCGGGGGCACGAAACCCGAAACGCTGGGGACGAGGAGAAGCTTCCGGGGAGCCGGTCCTCCGAGCGGCCGAGGCGGGGGCGGACGACGCACGCCACGGCCCTCGGAGGCTGCGAGGCCCGGCGCCCGGCAGCTGGAGGAGCCACGCGGCGGGCCCAGGCGGAGGAGCGGAGGCGCCGAGCCCGCGAGTACCTTGGCCTGCGGAGTCCATGTTCGGGCCGCACGGGGGTCCGGGCCGGGGCCTGCAGCGCTGCGGAGCCTAGCGGGCCGCGCCGGGACTCGCTCGCCGCGTACACAGCACTCAGCGGAACCGCCTCAGCCACCGCGGTATTGCGTAATCAGCGACGCGACGTCCCACTTCCGCTCCGACGCGCGCTCCGCCTTCATCCCGCCCCCACCAACGGCATCCAATGAGAGCGCTGTTCGGCCCCAGCCCCTATTAGCCGCTCCGGTCTGATTGGCCGAGACTGCGGACGAGGCCGGAAAGGGCGGCCGGGTTCCAAGGGAATCCCTCCCACGTCGGCTCCACCAGCGAGACTCCCAGGTAGAAAGGTCCGGGGGAGCCCGGGGAAGGTGGGAAGTGGGAGGGCCGTCCAACGTGGCGCTGCGGAGGCGTGGGGTTGGCCCCCTCGGAGATGCCGGGGTGTCTGCCGCGGCCGAGAAGTGCCACGGCTGACGCGCCGCCCAGACCGCCTGCGATCCCTCTGAGGCCGGACCCCGACTTCGGGATTAGCTTTTCCGCGCGGCTGCTTCTCTTTCCCCTGAAGTCCTCCCTCTTCAGGGGACTCTTCGTTCAGTCGTGTGGGGCCGACGCGGGGAAAGGCGCGTCCGCGATTCGTCCCAGCCCGAGGCCGCTCGGTGCGCGCGCGCCGCGCCCCGCGGTGCTCCTCCGTCCCAGCTCACGCGGCGCGGGGAGCCAGGCGGAGCCCCCACTTTGCACACGAGGACACCGAGGTGGGGGTCGTGTGTCCGCGACCCTCAGCCGGTGAGGGGCGTCCAGCCAGCGCGGGAGCAAGAGTTGTCCGGGCTTCTCCACGCACCGGTGTGTGGGCGCCAGGCAGCCCGGCTTCGCTGGAACAAGCCCCCGGGCCCCCCTCGCTGGGTCCTCGGGGCCACTGCAAGCAGCTGCTCGGATGGTGCTCAAACCCTTCAGGATCCGACCCTGCTGGACCGCAGTCCCCCTCTCCAGCCAAGCCTCCCTCGGCAGGGAAGCCCTTCCTCAACCCGGAGAGCTCCTCCCCTGGGGCAGTCCAGAGCTCACCTCCGCACCCGTGTCCTCCGGGCGCGCACCTGCCTGGCTCTGGCCGGCCCTGGGCTCGGTGCACTCCTGTGCTGGCGATTACGTGTCTGCCCCACTCGGCTTCCCTGAGGTTTTCCAGCTTCCCGCTCAGCCCACCCTGGCTAGCCCCAGTCCCCGCTTCATGCAGCTCGCGGCAGGTGGTAGAGGGGCGACTGCATGACAGGTGGCGGTGGCCGAGGGCCTGTCCCTCATTCTGGAGTACACCCTTGAGTCAGGAGCAATGCCCGGCCGGGTCTGGCTCAAGGGGATGCCCAGCAAGTGACAGTCCGTGCCAGCGCGTCTGCTGCCCACACGGACACGCCCCTGTGAGTCCCTGTCACTCCGAGTGTTGTCCTTGCCTGCAGAAGCCAGGCAGGTGGAGGTGCAGAGGGGACCCTACAAAGAGCCCAGGATCGCACTCCTGGTCGGGTCTGGCTGCTAAGACCTGCTTGATAAGCTTCCAGGGCTAGTGTTCCTTCACAGGTAGGAGTGACTTGTCCAGACCCAGAGCCATCCTGTACCCCAGGCCAGGTTAAGAGCACCTCCTGGGGTCCCACAGCCCATGTTCCCACCATCCTTTTGAGGTGATCAAAGCGCCCATCACACAGTGTTGCCATAAACTGGGTCTACTTTCTCTTTGGGAGCAGCCTGGAATCCACAAGTGTTTGAGGGAGAAACTGAAGGAAGGAAGGAAGGAAGGGGGAAACGCCCCAGAGAGGGAGAGCACTGGTTCCCTGTGTTCTGCCTCTCTGTCCCTCAGACACCAGGTCGGGATCCCCAGGCAGGGCCAGCTTTACTGGTTTCGGGTGCAGGGAGGGAAAGAACTCGAGGCCCTGGAGGGGCGCAAAGGCACCGAGGCGCTTGCCAGCAGCTGCAGGGCGAGGGCTACAACCTCCAGGGCAGCTGGAAGTCCTCGGGCTCCAGCGGACTGCAGTGAGTCGCCTCCACATTCCTGAGGTGTTTGCGAGCCAGGAACAGCGCGAGCTGCCGGCGCCGCCGCGGGCTCAGGCCCCGGCCCACCAGCCAGGGGAAAGAGAGCCCGTGCGGCCCCCAGGCCTGCTCGTCCTCCCGCTCGTCCTCGCAGCGCGCGTGGTAGGAGCGCAGCAGGGCCAGGCACCACTCGTCGTCCACGCGGTAGCGCGCATAGAAGGCGGCCTCCTGCGCCCGGCTGCCGGCGCGGAGCCAGCGCGTCACGACCGCGAGGCCCTCCCGCGCCATCACGACCGGGTAGCGGTGCTGCAGCAGACGCAGGAGCAGCTCGTTGCCGCGGTTGCCCTCCACGTCGCCGGACGGCAGGGGGCGCAGGTGGCCCGAGGTGCTGACCACGTCGTCCTGCGTGCGCCGCAGCAGCAGCACGGGCCCCGGGTAGCGGCACAGCTGCTCCGCCACGTTGAGGTTGAAGTGCTCCCGCACGGTGCGCACCACGAGGCCCTTCCAGCTGTGGGGCATGACCTTCAGGGCCAGCGGCACGAGGTCGTCGAAGGTGGCGTCAAGCACCAGCGCACCGAGCTCCGGGTATGTCATGGTGGCCCAGGTGGCCGTGAAGCCCCCGATGGACCAGCCATAGACCACGACGTGTGCGGGCGGGAAGTGAAGGCGGTGCAGCGCGTACTTGACCACCACGTCCACCGCGTTGGCGTCATGCTGCGGGAACGGCGCGCCCGTGCTGCCTCCGAAGCCCGGGTGGTTCCAGCCCAGCACCGAGTAGCCAGCTTCCAGGGGCGCGGACAGGCAGCCCATCTCGTAGAAGCCGGCATTGCCTTCGCAGCAGATAACGAGGCGCAGGCCGCGGCCTTGGCTGCCCGGGTGCTGGCGGCGATCCATGAACATGGTGTCGATCTCATTGCCGTCACAGGCCACCAGCTTGGCGCGCCGGCCACTGTAGCGCTCCACGAGGCGCTCTTGGCCCTGCTGCAGCAGCGGCAGCAGCGCGCGAGTCATCAGGAACATGGAGCCCGGGTACACGAGCCAGCGGCCCAGCGAGTGGGCCAGCGCGTAGCTGGCGAGCTGGCCCGGCAGCTCGCGGATCTGCTGCAGGAGGCACTGCGCCTGACTGCGCGCCCCGCGCAGCGGTCGCCCTGGCGCGTCCCCGCCCAGAGCCGCACCCCGCAGCAGCCACACGCCGGCCGCCGCCGCGGCGCACGTCAGCGCGCGGTGACCGCTGCCTCCCACACCGGCGGCGCGCACGTCATCCCAGCGGAAGTCCACGGGCCAGCTGCGGAAGTTGTAGGTGTAGTGGGCGGTCAGGTAGATCTTGAACACGTGCACCAGCGCCTTCACGAAGCAGACGACACACATGGGCGTCGAGGCTACGGGGCGGCCCGCGCGAGCCGTAACGCCCAGTCGCCAGGCCGGGGTCGCGGCTGGAGGCCCAGGCCCGGCCCCGCGGGCGGCTGCAGGGTTGAGAGCCGCGCAGAGCTGTCTCGGGACATGCCTCTTCAGGGCTTGGCCCTAATGGCCTTTGTGACCTGGGCCTTCCAGGGTCCAGAGGAGGCGGCCTGTGCTTGGCGAGGGCTGGCTTTGTGAGTCATTGTTGCTGGGGAAAGAGGCAACACCCGGTGATGGGCGCACAAAGGGCTCCCAGGCGCGGTGGACCTCAAGTTCTACCCCGCCCCCAGGACTCAAGCCTAGGGACTCCGCCCCAGCCACACCCTCCCCAGACCCTTCTCTGCCTGCCCCCTCCCTGGGCCCTACTTCACCTGCCTTCCATCACACCTTGACCAGCAACCACCGCTCCCCGCCCCCCCTTAACTGAAGGTGGACGGACAGGCTGGAACATCTACTGCCTTCGCCTCTTCCTGGTCAGAAGCCAGGGTCTCACTGGGAAGAACGCAGGGCTTCCCGTGGACTTGACCTAAGCTTGCTGTGGAGCTCTTTCCCTCTTGGTGAGGTACCCACGTGGGTGGGAGAGGGAACCAGGAGCAGGCAGAAGCAGCTGTTTGGATCAGGCGGTGGGACAGTTTGCAGAGACATGGGAGTCTCCTGAAGAAGGCTGGGAGTGGCAGTTCCCTGTCCAGGGCCCCGCTAGATGGTGGTGCCTCCAGACCTCCCAATGCAAGGTGGGGCAGCCCAGAAAATCCAATATGCTTTATCAGCCTAGGGGAGAAACTGAGTCTGGCCCATGGGCTGCTGCTGGAGCAGCGAAGGCACTGTGTGCTCATGGCCTTGCCCGGCCACCACTACCTTCCTTCCCAGGAGAGGGGGTGAGCTCGGGCTGGAAACCCCCCACCTGTTCTGGATCCTCTTTCGACTGGTGCCAGCAGAGGCAGTGACCTCCAGGTAGGTCTTGCCTGGCCAGTGTTCCTCATTTTTGGCCCTTGGCCAAGCCCTCCTCCCCACTCGTCACTTAAACCACACCACAAATTGTACCTTCCTCTTTTCTGGAGGGCTTTGGTAGGTTCCTCTTTTTCCCGGGTCCTGGAGACGGCCAGCCCACCTGAGGGCAAAGGGGGCAGGGTTACAGCCAGGGAAGAGCTGGGCTCTGAGGGCTCATTCAACAGTTGCCTGGAACTGAAACAGGGAGTTTAGCAAACCTAGCCAGACCCTTGGATCCCCAGACCTGCCTCAGAGACCCAGAGCGTTCTGGGAAGTCGGAAGGGAGCTCCAGGCTCCTGCAAGCCTTCTCTGTATCTGAGTCCACTGTCAGCCCAGTCAGCCCCACCAGGTTTGGGAAGCAGAGCTGGAGACTGTTAGGGTCCTTGGGGGTTAGGAAGCAAGAGCAGTCAGTTGAGTGAGTGAGTGAATTGGGAGCTGAATGTCCCTCCCACCAGGGTCTCCAGATAAAATGCAGAATGCCTACTTATATGTGAATTTCAGATAAACAAATATTTTTTGAGGATAAGTGTGTCCTAGATATTGCATGGGTCATACTTATATTAAAAAAAATGTTTATCTGAAATTCAACTCTAACTGGATATCCTGTTTTTAGGTTTGTTATTTTTTGCGACACCTGGCAACTCTACCCTTGTCACCCCTCTGCGTCCCCCTCCCCCCAGCCAGCTAGATCCAGACTGTCCCGACTATCCAGCTCATACCCCAGGCTGGGCTGCCCTTCCCAGTGATCAGGTCCTGAGGACCAAGAGGGTGTCTCAGGGTCCACTCGTGTACCTGGACAAGGGTCCCCTCTTGTTCCCTCTGCCCTGCAACCCCCTCACCTCTTCCTTGGCTCTGAAGGGTCGGTGGGGAGACTGCCCTAGGAGGGAGCCTACAAGGTACCACACCTGGGTCAAGGGATGGGCATAGCTGTTGCCCATGGGGATTAGTGGTCGTGGTCCTGAAATGTGCCCGCTGGCCCTGTGGTTAGGAGTGGCAGTGGAGAACTTGGGAGAGAGTGGGGTGGGGGCCTTCACTCTCCCAGGAACCTCTTTCATAAACTCAGAAGCTGTTTACCCTAGCTCGGAGTGGGCTGCGCAGGCCCAGAGGCTCCAGACTCATTTCATGAGACCACAGGAGTGACTGCCAACAGTAGAGGGCTTCCTTGTGTCCTCAGCCTGAATCCAGGCAAACACAAGGGTCTCCTGGAAAATTGTCCTCCAAGTATGTTAGACATACCACATTTTGTTTTGATTTGATATCCCAGGGGAAAATGAGGCTTGGAGGAGCCCATCGTCCTAGGGACAGGCTCTCGGTTTGGTGAGCTCTGAGACTTGTGTTTGGAAATAGACTTTCCTTCTGTCAGGCCCACCTGCCCTTGGCTCCCCCTAGGAGAACCGGAAGCTTGGAGGAGGTGGCTGTGGTGGAGGGGAGTAGAGGCCAGTTTCTGAGGAGCAAAGATCAGCAGGCTGGAGCTGCTGGCCCCTGGGGGCCCCTGCCCTGTGTCTGGCCTGGCTTCTGACTGCCCCAGCCCTGCCCTCCAGCCCATGGGAGCCCAAGTGCCCCCAACCACCACCCCTGTTGAGCCAGGAAAGCATGTGACAGGAAGGGAGACCTCCTGCTCTCCTCTCTCCAGAAGAGCCCCCTCAGACTGGACCAGCTGCAGCAGCAGTGACCTCTCCTACCCCCCCTCCATCTGCTCAGGGAAGGTGGGGCTGTGATCCCAGCGATCAGGTCTTAGTTTGAGGAGGCAACCCCCCTCACCCTCCAGTGTCTGCCAGGCAGACATCTGAGCATACACCCCACCCCCACAGAGCCTGCTGGGCTCTGTGACCTCTGGCCTTCACCCCACAGGGCTTCTACCCTCCCCCACGGAGGTAATGCTCCCTCCTGGCCAGTTCTGCTCAGCCTCCCTGGAGGCCCTGATTTATGCTGCGGGAGCAGACAGAGCCGACCTGGGAGAAAGAATGGAGGGAAAGAGAAAAAAACCAGTCCCAGAGGCTGGAGGGGTGGGGGCTGGGATCAGAGCCCCTAGCAGAGGGTGTCCAGCCAGGGGGCAGCCATGAGCTGACCACAGCAGCCCTGGGGCTCTGGGAGCCGAGCCTGGGCCTTGGGAAAACCGAAGCCACCCTGACGGGATAGGGAGCTGAGTCTGCACAAACGCCTCTGCTCAGGAAATGGGGTGCAGGGAAGGTGGGGGGTGGCTCAGAGCCTGAGGACAGGAGGGGACGCTTCCTGGCGGATGCAGGGTCAGAGAAGGGGCGGAAATGGCCAAGACAGCTGCTGAACATCTGGAATCCCAGAGAACTACCCAGAGCCCTCCAGGGTGGTGGGGTTGGTGGGGAGCAGTGCACACCCACGCCCTCTCCTTCCTGCCTCCCAGCAGGGCCAGTCTCGTGGGCTCTTCTCCCACTGTACCCCCACCATCAGGGTAAAGTCTGGGTTGGGGTCAGGAGCCCAGCAGGCTGGTCTGATGGGGCCGAGTTCCCTGGAGCTCAGCCCTGCAGGAGTTGCCCGGTCTGTACCGTTTCTGCACACTCCAGTGTGTGGACAGTGCCTCCTGGCACCGTGCAGGCCATGGCCCTGCGCCTGGGATGATCCCTGGGGCCACATACATGAACTTGAAAGGGTCGTGGTACACTATGGGCCCAGTGTCACTCCAGAGAGTCCCTCAGAGCAGGGCTGTATGCTTTCTACCACTGCACCAAACCCGTGCACCGGGGTTGAGGTAAGGTGAGTATTTCGTTAATGTTACGTTATTCAAAATGTAAACGAGGCTCACTGCAGCTGGCGAGACAGGATATGAGACAGTTACCGGTCCTCCCTTGGCACCTCCCTGGAATCCAGATATACTAACCAGGACGTGTCTTTGCACACCTTTTCCTCTATTTGCCTACAATGTGCACAGCCTACTGAGGGGACTGGGGGCTTATTTTATCACGTGCTTTTGCAAAAGTGGATGTGGTGTATACATTACCAGGCAACTTGCTTTTCTCCCGAGTATCACTGCAGGCCCCTAGCTGGTAGGTGGCCCATTCCTCCTGGTATACCTCCCCTGTGTTGGATATGTGGGTTTCCAGACCTTTCCCCTCTGCAGTGGGGGCTGCTGTAAGCAGCTTTGTCCAAGGATCCTGGCCTCCAGGTGCTTTCCCCTACACAGTGATTCCGAAGCATGCCTGCCCCAGTGAAAGGAGTGTGCGTTCTCAGGGCAGGGAGAGCTGGCCAGATTGCTTTTCTGTGCTTGTGCTGGCCTGTGAGCCCGCTGAGGGAGCTTGTCTCTGCAGCAACGCGGGTCAGCTCTGTGCATTTAGCATTTAGCATTTATCCGGACGTGTAAATGAGCTTCGTGAATGTTGGTTGATCCCGACCCGCTGACCAGGCCGGCACCAGAAGCCATTCCGTAGTCGGGCGATTCAGTCCCGCATTTTGCTTTTCGCTGCCCCTTGGAGACCCCTCACCTGTGGGACCCTGGTGCCCGCTGCCTCCGTAGTGGCCGGATAGAAACTGCGGCCTGGATCTCCTCCAGCCGGCCCTGGCTCTGGGGGAGGGGCGATGAAGCGGGCCGAGCTTGGTGGGATGAACGGAAAAGCCCCGGGATCCTCTGCCTGAGAGGCGGGTCTCGGGCTGTCGGCGTCCGCTGCACCTTGCCTCGCCGGCGGGGACCCCCGGAAACCAGCAGTGGGGCGAGGGAAGGACCTCCTAGCCCGGGGGTTCGGACACGGTCGCCCGGCCGGCTCGCCCCTAGCCGCGGGGGTCGGAGCCCGCGTTTCCCGGAGCCAGCCTCTGTGGCGACTCAGACTCCCCTGGGGGGCCGAGGTCCCCTTTCCGGGCTCCTCCAGGTCGTGGCCCGTGGACATTTTCCAGGAGGCGGTGAGGCCGCGCGGAAGGTGGAAGGTGTCGCCGAAGCAGCCGCGCGCACAGCGGCCCCGGAGAACGGAGAGGGACCGGAGTTCCGACCCGAGAGCTCGGCACCCTCCCCACGCCGCGCCGGGGCGCGAGGGTCCGCTCCGAGGGGGGCTGCGGCGCGTCGAGGCGTCCCCGCAGAGC